TATATCTCTCTGTCTGACTATCTATCTATCATCTATCTATCTATCTATCTATCTATCTATCTATCTATCTATCTATCTATCTAACATCTATCTATCTATCTATCTATCTATCTATCTATCTATCTATCTATCTATCTAACATCTATCTATCTATGAATCTCTCTCTCTATCTATCTATCTATCTATCTCTAATTTATCTATCAAATTTATAATTTATACCTGTCTGTCTGCCTGTGTCTGTCTGTCTGTCTATCTATCAAATTTATAATTTCTCTCTCTCTCTCTCTCTCTAATTTATTGACCCCCCTCCCCTTACAGGGTGTGTATCCACAGGGGTGGCTCAGCCAAGCCTTTACAGAACCCCCCCCACCCACAAAGCCCATTCCCCAGGTATACAACACGCACATCCCCCCCCCCGCACCCGAAGCCGCCGGTAAAGCAAAGCTCCGGGCAAAGCCGAGCCAGCCCCCCCCCAGAAGTTCAGCTCCGCGTCCAAGCGAAGCGAGCGAGGGGATTCCGCTGGGAGGGGAGGGAGAGGAAAGTCCCCACGCGTGTTTCCCACCCACCCACCCCACTTCGGAAAGCCAACTTCTCCCGCGTGGGGTTCCAAAGCCCCGGGAGGAGGGAGGCAGCGCCGGCGAGGAGGAGGAGGCGACCGGGGGCGTCCGAGGGTCTCCCCCTCCCAAGCCCACCCCCCTCGTCGTCTCAGACTTACGTCCAAGCGGAGCGGCGGCGGAGGAGCTGCCCTTGCTGCGGGCGGAGGGGCTTCCAAGCTGGCCCGTCCCGGGACGAGCAACTTCGGCCGGCTCCTCCCGGTAGTCCTCTCCCCGGCCTCGGCTTCCCGGCCACGGCGCCACCTGCCCCGACAACAGCTGAGTGCAGGCCTCGCCCAGCCGGCTCGGGAGGAAGCGCAGGCGGAGCAGCCGGGGCTGGGCTGGGCTGGGCCGGCTTCTGGGGGGGGGGGGCGAGAGGAGCCCCCTCCCCTCCGATGGGCTTCGTGTTTTTTGCAGCAAATCTCCGCAGTTAGGTCGTTTTTCTTAGTGGTCAATGCAACTTTAAAGGGGGTTGGATCTAGGATAGGCGGTCCTCGGCTTATGACCGATCGAGGTCGTTGTAAGTAACGTGGTTGTTAAGTGAATCGGGTTTCCCCGTCGGCTTCAAACGGGTTTGGATCTAGGACGGGTGGTCCTCGACTTACGACCCCTGACGGAGCCCCAATTTTCTCTTGCTAAGTGAGACGTTGGTTAGGTGAGGACTTTTCTTACCATTGTTCTTAAGGGAATCGACGGCGTTGTAAGTAATATGGTTGTTAAGTGAATCGGGTTTCCCCATCGACTTCAAACGGGTTTGGATCTAGGATGGGTGGTCCTCGACTTATGACCCCCGATGGAGCCCCAAATTTCTCTTGCTAAATGAGACACTGGTTAGGTGAAGACTTTTCTTACTATTGTTCTTAAGGGAATCGACGACGTTGTAAGTGAATCGGGTTTCCCTATCAGCTTCAAACCGGTTTGGATATCGTACAGGTGGTCCTCGACTTATGACCCCAACAGAGCCCCAAATTTCTGTTGCTAAGTGAAACGTTTGTTAGGTGAAGACTTTCCTTGCCATTGTTCTTAAGGGAATCGATGCTGTTGTAAGTAACATGGTTGTTAAGTGAATCAGGTTCCCCCCTTGGCTTCAAACTGGCTTGGATCTAGGACAGGTGGTCCTCAACTTACGACCCCAACAGACCCTCCCCAATTTCCATGACTAAGTGAGACATTTGTTAGGTGAGGACTTTTCTTAAGGGAATCACTGCTGTTTTTCATAGCACAGTTGTTAAGTGAATCCTCACTGGCTCTGCCGGTCAGGTGGTCGCAAAAGCAGATCACGTGACACTGCAACCGTCATAAATGTGAGACACTTGCCAAGCACCCGAATGCAAATCACAGGATCACGGGGGTGCTGCAAAACGGTCGTAAGTATGAACAATGGTCACACATCGGGTTTTTTTCAGCGCCGTTGTACCTTCGAATGGTCCACCAAGCAAACCGTCGTAAGTCGAAGGGCTACCTGTGAAATGGTTGTAAATTGAGGACAGATAGTCTCGGTTTACAACTATGCCTTTCGTGATCTTTTTTCCTCCCCTCGATATGTAAAGCGTTCGACCAGTGAAGCTTTCGGGAAAGTTGCAACACAGGATATGTCAAAAACTCAAAATTCTGGTGAGAACCTTTAAAAAAAAAACTACACAGATCGAGATATGGAAACTTGAGGGGGAAAAAAACCTCGAAAACTATGCATTAGTGTTGTTTTCTTTAATTTATGGCTTAGAATCAGAGACGTGGAAGGGATCCTTGAGGCCATCTATACCACTCCCTGTTCTGCAACCCAACAAGACAGACACAGACTTCAGAGGAGAATTAGATCTGCAGAAAAAAAACAATGGCTACCAACCTGCCTTTCGTTGAGGACCTGTATATTGCATGAATCAAAAAGAGGCCTGTGAAAATATCTACAGACCCTTCACACAACCTGGATGTAAATTGGTTCACCTCCTACCCTCAAAACGACGTTATAGGAGAACTGCACACCAAGACAACTAGACCCAAGGACAGTTTTTCCCCCGAACGCCATCCCTCTGCTAAACAAATAATTCCCTCAACACTGTCAAACNGGGGGGCGATATGCTGACTCTGTAAACCGCTTAGAGAGGGCTGAAAGCCCTAGGAAGCGGTCTATAAGTCTAACTGCTATTGCTATTGCTATTTTGTGGTTCTTGTGCTCTCAATCCTCCAACGCCACCCAGGGTAAGATGGGCGGTTAGATAAATCATATAAATAAATACAAGATGCTAAACCCCACTGCTCCTTCCTCGTGATTGCTGCTGTGCTTGCCTTGCTACTCACACTTCCAACCAATCCCCTTCCTTGTTTCCTAGGCATTGTGCCCGGACTTAGCTTTTGCAAAACCTTGCTGAGCCCAGATTCAAGAAAGGTATAATTTCAGTCTCTTCTATCTTCTAATTTTCCCTCTATTCAAGTTGAGATTTTCTCCAAGTAGAAATTTAGCTCTAAATTCCGCATTTCTGAGTCTCCCTAACCTATATTTAAAGTGCTTTTAACTGCCCTGCTTTGAACCCCGTCTGCAGCTTTAAAGGTTATTGCCTGACAATTAGTTTGCCAAATGAATGCCACTGAAATAAGCTCTTTCTCTTTCCTGGCAGTGTATGCCCATATCTCAATAAATTATAAATTGAGTTACAGGATTGTCTCAGCATGTTTTAAATCTTGTTTTTTTTCTCCCCCTGGCTTGCAGATCCCTGCATTTAGCTTACGTCACAAAGATCCTTTAACACATAGTGGCAATGTTGCCTTTATGGGTGCTGTTTTTATATGGTTGGGAGATACAACACAGTTACAGCACCCAGAGGACAAGCCTCATCAACATTGGCAGGGCAAAGCTACCGTATATAAACAGGGGGGAAAACCCTACACTCATTAGAACTGATAAAGTTGCCTAGTTGGGTAACCAAATGTCTACAAGGAAATAATCATTTTAGAGAGCACCAAAGACTCCACTGTTCAACCCTGAACTTACACATGTATTCTTCTATTGGAAGGAATCTTCTATATTATCTTTTATTTTTTTTCAATATACTTTTTTATTTTCCATTTTCATAACATACAAATCACATGTATACTATTACATAGCCAATATCNGTGAATATGAGTGCCTCCTTCTACACATTATATAGAGGCAAAAACCCCACAAACCAATGCGGAGGGGGGGGGTGTATAGGTCAAATAGGCAGGCATAAAGATTTACAAATGTTTCTGTAAATAAAGCATCTTAATGATTGATGTAATAGATTCAACTGTACAACCTCTAGAAGCTCTGCAACATCCTGATCACCCCTTAATCTACAACATTCAACGATTTCCTCAAGTGAGTTGTTTGGGAAATTGTCCTCAGTTGATTTCAGTGATTAAATGTCACTCTACAAATGTTTCTGCTTACAAGGTCACGAAACAAACACACAGCATGACATTTTAGGGGCTTAGTTAGATTTCCGCTTCTTGTTTCCCTGGTTTGACCGGAGACTAAGATTAAACAAAACATATACATCAAATCAAATAATTTATTTACAGCTCCCAAGAAATGTTAACATTTAAAAAGCATCACAGAGAAAATAATTTCATTCTACATTTAAAAGAAATGGGCAGGTTCCAGGTAGAATTTCCATGTTTTTTTTTTTTTTTGGCTATTCATTCATGACAAAGTCCTTAATGTCAGATTGTATTTATATATTATTTTTATTTATATCCTTTAATGACAAACCTAATCAGAAGAATCTATAGTCAGCCAAAAAAGAAAGAAAGAAAAAGATGAATGAAGAACAAGAACTGAAAAAGCAAAATGAATATGGAGTGAAATTTATAGAGGGCTTTCAAAGATCAACATTTACTTTATTCCATTTATGTTTTTTTTATCATTTAGAACAGGCCTGTCAAACTGGTGGCCTGATGGGGCAGATGAGTCCCATTCTGGCCATGCCCATCCAAGCTAAAAAAAAAATAACAATACGTCACAATACGTCACATGACACGATCGAGTTTGACATTCACGATTTAGAGCAGAGTTTCTCAAACTTGTAGCGTTAAGATGCGCGGACTTCAAGTCCCAGAATTCTTCAGCCAACCATGCTGGTTGGGAAACATGGGAATTGAAGTCCACACATCTTAAAGTTGCCAAGTTTGAGAAACCACTGATTTAGGACAACCGAAAGCGAATATATGCACGACAATGGCAGTGATCATCTGAAACTAGTAATATTGAGTATCAGGTAGTTAGAAGTGATGCATCAATGGAAGGAAACTTGCTGTCTACCCTTATCTTTCTGCTATGTAATTATGCTAAGCAGAAGGCATTGTTCTCTCACACCGTCGCGTTCATATATCTTTCTGTGCGTGTCATGCTACATTCTCTCCATTGTGCATGGATGAATAGACTTTAAGAGTTACACAATAGATGGATTAATGATGTGCATTCATTTCTGAAGTCAATGAGAACTGAGCTCTGCTCAATCATTAATTGTTGGGGATATCAACAAATGGGACTTTGAATGGAATAGGTTTTTAGATCTCACCGCAGATGCTGGTTTTTCACTAGGCTAGGCTGGCTAGTGAACTTCCCATGCAAGAGCCGAGGTGGCGCAGTGGTTAGGGTGCAGTACTGCAGGCCACTTCAGCTGACTGCTAGTTCAGCAGTTCAGCGGTTCTAATCTCACCGGCTCAGGGTTGACTCATCCTTCCATCCTTCCGAGGTGGGTGAAATGAGGCCTC